ACCGCACGAGAAAGCATAACAGCGCGACAACTTAAACGCCGGTAATAAATGACGACGACACCGGTAGTAGATGACTAGGTGGATGCGCGCGGCCCTATTAATATTCTAGCGCTGGTTGTTACTGCAGAAAACAACTGATCTGGTTGGAATGGAGAAACAGAGAAAATACCAACGAAGATTTGTATCGCATCATGTAATATTAGGAGAAGTTAGCCATACATTAAACATACTAGGTAAATTTAGAGCTGTTTCTGTTGTTTATCTATATTCATAAAGATAAAGGACAGGTGGCAAGCTGAACTGTTTACCTCGTGCATTGGTAACGAGTATATTTCGAACGTACGTATTGTATGTATATGCATCGACGGATGTTGCGCTCAGAGAAATCACTTGTTTACAAAACCTTTTCGAGACTCGCAATTAGTAATTATTAACGTTTGGTCGTGATGCCGTGAGCGACAGAACGAAAATGAAGACTAGCGCTTGAAGCAGAGACTGCGCGTCGGTTGGTCCGTGCGCCTTTTTGGCCGCACGCTTATTAGCTTCACTACTACGTACAGGCATATACAGAGAGCGTCAAATGATGACGATAGACGTTCAACAAAAAGCTGTCTCTCAAAGATAATAACAAAAGCTCGTCATAGTTATAATTCGTTGATGCATGAATGTTTTTACCAACAAAGGTTAATATAATTGCGATTTAATCAGTCAGCGTTGCTGCCCTGCTATAGTAGCAGTGGCACGGAAAAAACGTACGTCGACGCTCGCCGCAACTAGAGGCAAGCACGTCGCAGTCGTTCATTAACAAATGGTTATCGAGCAAACATCGACGGTCGTCAGTGAATTCCTATCAAATATAAGCTATCGATTCTCTTCCAACCTCGCCAAACAGATGTTACAGTATTTACTAATTAAGAATGGTGGTAGATTTCTTTGAAGCCCAGAAGTTGAAATCGTCAGCGATGGCCTTTGGTTCGGCCGTCGACTACTATTATACTATTGTCGCAATATTAGTGGCGTCATAGACAGCATTCGTGATCGTGCTTAGTTACGACAATTTTTCGATACTGCAACAGCAATAGCGTTATCGACGAAGAGCACGAGGCGGACGTCTAGAGAAGACGACTCGTTGTTTCGCTGCGTCGTTCTATCTTGTACGCACACGACTACGACAGCAGCGAGGAAGAGTCCCACCTCGGCGTATCCAAGCCCAGCGTTGCTGTTAGCCGGCAGACGTCACCCGGAGTGGAATAACAACACCGACTAACGCCACTCAGCCGGCGCCCAGCTGCCACTGCCGGCGCAGTAGTAGCAACATCGAACAATGCCCGACTCTTGTTGCCGTCGCCGCTGCAGTTGCGGGCCACCGTAAAGCTGAGCTCTACGATCCTGTTGCTGCAGCCGTGTCCCCGTTAACGGGGACAAACGGCCAGCAGCGATAAGCGGCCTGGGATCGTTGACCTCTTGCCACGCTGACGTGACGTCATCGGTAGCGCGTCAGTTTGTCAAGCAGGCCGGCTAGAAGGATGGTACTGTTGCTGTCGCTGCCGCTGCCACTATACGCCGTCGCAATGGGCACAGAGTGAGTGAGCGCTGGCGGTTGAACGGACCGCGAGACTTGCACAGAGACCGACGTTAGCTAGTCGCTTACCGGTTGGAAAGTCATATAATGGTTGGTCCTCCCTGGCCAGCGGTTGCCGGCCATAATATACTGCAGGTGTTGCTGATTTACTGCTAGAAAAGCTGTCCAGTAAGGTTACTCGTGTCTCAGCTCATCTATTATTTTCTAGAGTTCGGTATCTAATACTGATGAACGTGTGTACGCCCATAGCAGGGAACAGATGAACCCTTCCAAAAGCAAATTTCTCACAATAGTTTTGACCGGTGCTGTCTCCCACTAATATAAAACAAAAGAAAAACCACTACTCGCGTTCGTGCTTAGCCTTGCAGTGTTCTCGTACGTACATTGGGATCAAAAGTATACAAACGTTCACGTATTTCGTAGATGTGTTTTAGGAGAAAGCAGCTAGCTGCCAGAGGAATCTCATAGAAATACCCTGGAAGCTGCTGTCCACGCTGAAAACCTTCTATAAGAAGGCAATGTCTAGCTTACACCAGATAGCAGGGCTCGTCTACGGTCAACCACCTACAAGTCGGTAACAGCGAACAGGGAATATCATACTTAATCGGGACAAATACTGCCATAGATCTACTTCCATACAGATTAATCGCTACGTAGGAAGCCACCACGTTGCGTAGCGTTGCTTCGCAGATTACTTCGTAGAGAGCGTTGCTCTTAGCGTAAGCTCTTACTGACAGCGGCCGATGGCCCCACAACATCCATCGATCGTATGGAAAGCCGTTTGGGTCGCGGTGACTCCACTGACGCATACGCATGCAGACAGAATCACACCACACGCATACATACGTACGTATGTACGTACGTACGTACAAACGTTATTACTCAATACAGTCAGAAAAGCATGTAGATGTACTTATACCAAGCGTCTAATATTGCACTGTGATTGTGAGTGGCAAATGGGCCAATGCCACCGGGGCCAAGTTCGTTAGGCCACTAGCCCAGCGATGGCGACGCCCTGAAGCGTTCGTCCTGCGCGCTGCAATGTACTCTTGCGGCTTAACCAAACTCGCTTACTTTCTAACACTGACATTCAATCGGCGATATATTCGCGCATAGTCCTCAACGGCGCCCCTTGTGCGTAAGTGGATGCGTGACAGGTGGAGGGCACCGGGCAGTCGGTGTCATCGTGCAACAACAGCGATCGATGACCGAAGATGATAGGTCGTCGATTTCTAAGGCAGGTTCAACTTAAGCTACGTTATACTATAGCGATAGATGTGAGAGAGGCCTACTTTTTCAAGCGTGCCTTGAAATCGCGTTCAGCCTTGTGGTCGCTTGCCTCGCAAGCCAGTGATCAATAATGTTCTCAGGTAATAGTTTCACAGGTTTGCAAAACGGAAACTGGCTGATGCTGGAGAGAATTGTTTAGTAGGCAGCTGTTTGAATGCAACGCTGTATGTGCCACGTTTTTTAGCGTGATACAACTAAACATGACGTTTCCTGGTTTATGCTATAATCTCTTTTTTTTTCTATCTAATTCACATCGAATTAATACAACATAACCTGCAAAGGAAAGAAATCGTATAAGCCAACGCAAATTCAACACTGAAATGACCGAATGATAAAAATGACAATAAGGGTATATTATTATCGTTTTAGGCTGTAGAACGTATTAAGGATAAAAGGAATCATTTTTGGACTTGCTGGGCTATGTTTCATGAGAAAATTCTTAGCATAAGATATACTGGTGCGTAACAGAATATATGCTTTTCCTGACGTTATGCTGCGGCATGATAGCATCAGTTTGTATAACAGTCATTAATCCAGATTTCAAACGCCTTCCAGAAACGGTATATATAAATGGCTACGCGGTTGCTTAAATAGAAGTTTGTTGGTTAAGAAAAAAGCTAAAGGAGTATTCTGGGGGGAAGAGGGGTGGAGGAGGAGGAGGAGCTACGCGACCCATATAGGGTTCAGTGACAGAAGGCGATGACCTCCGGGAGCAATACGTGTTAAGTTCCGGAAAGGTAAAGCATCAAGGTCTCATTACATTGCTCTACCTATAGTTTTAGACGTGAATTTTACTGTGTACGCACGCACGCCAAAGTTACATCTTCCAAGTGAATGTTTAGTACCGTAAAATAGACCAAGAAAGATTATACGCATATAAAACAGCAGCGATGTACTAGTTAGTTCCGTGTCTCTTTTTTTTTTGGTAGAACGGAAACTTTGCAAAAGTGACGTGCTAACAACAATTCTACCACAGTAAGCGTAACTTATCGCTTAAATCAATCAAAGTTACAACTTGTATGGATAACAGACATTTAAAATAATTCGTTATTTTGTCGATCACTACAAATATAACTATTACAATCATTGGACGGTATAGTCATAATAAACTAGATACGCACAACTCAATAATATGACCATTATGTAGACAGTATATAGTTTATTTGTGCTAATGATTTTACAGCCAAATAAAAGGCTTAATGGCACAACGAGTAAACAACTTATTGATAAAATTGTTGATTAATTAAGAAAATTATGTCGTAGGTAAGTAATATCCATACTATGGGTAAGCTTATCTTACGATGCGTGATTTTTTTGTAGAGGGCCTACCTACGGTGGATCGGTCCAGAGACCACTTTTCGCCGAACATTCTAGGTATTATTTTGTAGTCAAAGATAATAGTTTTTTCTTTTAAATATTTTCAGCAAGGGAAAGCAGGTTGCCCTTTTTTTTTCGTACGAACAACCTTTAAAGCGCAATGCGCTAGGATCCTGATAGGAGTCAATGGCAAACTGTTGAGCAGAGATTCATTTAAGCAGCGTTATGCCACCTTACGTGATCTACGTAGCTCTGGAGCTCTAGAGTCAGGATCGTTTATACACCGGAGTGGCCCGAGAATGGTCGAATATCGCGTCAATGTGTTTAGTAGCAGTATATGCGCATGGCTACCGTTAGTTCACTGATGTCAGCGGGTGACTGTCTCTCACCAAGATACAGACCAACCGTGTTCAAAAAGGATTTGCCATACGTAAGGACAACAATGCAGTTTCGATATGGGATGAAGCAGTAGGTAAATAGGTATCTTTTTACCATCACGAATGTCTTATGTAAAACCAAAATGGTCAAGCACGTAGCTTTTTCTCTTCCAGCGATTCTCATGCGTTCGGCGTCCTTTTTCAAATGCGCGCTGCACATTCTCCTTAATCTGATATTACAGACAGTATCCTATCGTTTGCATATAGACGTAATAGAACCAGAAAGTGCTTCCGGAAGTATCTAACACAACCTATTTTGGGATGAAAAAAAAATAATGTTTATCTATTACGGATATGGAAACACTGCAAACGAAATTTTATGTGTAGCACATGATAACAGGAATGTATGACCCACGCATTGTATAAAAACTTACTCGGTTCGTCGTCATCGGGATAGGAGATTTCTGCCGCCATGATGTCCGCCACCGGGTAGTAGCCTTCAAGGCGGTCCTTATCACCAAGACCTCGGAGAATACGCTCTTTGTCCGGCCGACCAAGTGCAGCCTGTTGAATCAGGCTCGGTCGTGTATAAGGCGAACGGCCAACTATGGCGCTTACGCGTGCGGTAAATTCTCCCTGCTTATGTTCACGAACATCTCGTTTTAGCCTCTTAAGGCGTTCACGAACTTGCATTGGGCTGCGCTGGAAGCCATTTTGTGTGAGTACATCCGAGATTGTTCTGTATATGGACTGAAACTTCGGCACCATCATGGATGGTGAATTCTTGTCGAAGTTGGCATCTTCTTTGGCCATTTCCACTTCGTAAACGTCTAGCAGAATCGACGTCTCTTCCCGTGACCACGAGCTTCCACGACCTCCAAATCGACCCTGCAGGTCTTTGGCCGCCTTATTACTAACCGCGCTTACTGACAAATCCGTTGGCAGTTGTGCAAGCACCAGTTCCATAGTCCTCGTATGGATGGACGCACAGAGTACGTCGCTTATTTATCTCTCTGTCGAATAACACTAGCTACGGTTGTAGCAGAAGTTCCTATAATGTCACTCTTGCCGCTGACGATACAGTTCTTAACAACGTCAACTTTGCACACACGTGATTATGTTGATAGTGGGCGACTTTAATGTCGTCTTCCTTTTCATCATCGGTTGTAGTACATGAACAGAGGGGTTGACATTGGACAGAATCAACGATAAAAGATACACAACGAAATCGATGACTATAATTAGATAATAATGGTAATATAGAGATGGCTTAGGTGAGGTGGAAGGGGAAGCGTATCGCTCAACTTATGATAATGTGAGGATAAGAGGATTAGATAAAAAACAGGCTTTAGGGCCCCTCCGTGGGGTACGCTTGCCTTCCTGTAATAGCTAGCTAGCGGCAAAGGTTTGCACTTGAATGCGTAACTGTAATTCACCTATAATTGGCACGATTGTGCCTGTATATAAGTCACCTGTCGAAGCACTGCGCCCTCGTACTTACTCCTCACCATCGAACTGTTGTTTTGTGCACCGGCGCGCTATCATACGAACATCCCCGCGCAGAGTTAACACTAATGCAAAACAGTGTACACAATGTTTGCGTCGTCCCGTTTCTCTATTTCGGCCTAGCTCGGGTTGGGCGCTTTTGCGCGGAGGAGCACCGCACTTGGGGCGCGCTCTGCTCTGACTGTTCGTCTTGCTTATACCCAGTCTCTGTCTGCCAGCCGTGGTGAGTCGTCTGTCTGTCTGTCTGTCCGTCTGTCCGTCCGTCCGTCCGTTCGTCCGTCCGTCCGTCCGTCCGTCCGTCCGCCTGTCTGTCTGTCTGTCTATGTGTCTGTCTATCTGTCTGTCTGTCCGTCTGTTTGTCTCCACTTTTTCCTCACCACCATCAGCAGCGAACGAGTGCCAGTACCCACTGTTCGCTGTTCTGTGGCAGCGACAGTTGCTGGTGGTAACCGTGATGGTGCCGGTGGCTGTTGTGTGTGGGTATGTTGCGTGTGCGTACGTGCGTGCGTGCGTGCGCGCGTGTGTGCCTGTGTGTCTGCCTGTGTGAGTGTGTGTGTATGCCTGTGTGAGTGTGTGTATATGTGTATGTGTATGTGTTTGTGGGTGTGTGTGTGTATGGGTGTGTGTGTGTGTTTGTGTGTGTGTGTGTGAGTCTGTGTGTGTGTGTGTTTGTGTGTCTGTGTGTGTGTGTGTGTGTGTGTGGGTGTGTGTGTGTGTGTGTGTGTGTGTGTATCATATGCACCGTCACCGTCAAAGGAGCGATCGAGTGAGCTGCCGGCCGGTCAGTTGACGCCGTAGCTGCCGGTAGGTCTCTCGTTAACGGTCCCGGTACCGGCAGCGTCGCATCGCCAGAGAAATACAGAGAGAAAGAAAGAAAGAGAAGGAGAGAGAGAGAGAGGGTGACCAAGGGCCTTCCTCCATGTTGTCGCCGCCTGCCGTTGCCGTCGGTTATGTTATTCATGTTATTTTGTTGTGGATCAGCGGCATGGCTGTCTTTTGGTGTGTGTCTGTGTGTGCGTTTGTGTGTCTACGGTGCACAAACACAGACTTACACGCAGCTTGCCGTAGCCTGCCAGTGGCGACGGCGACGATAGCTGCTTGCTGGTGACCTACGCAGCAACCGCTACGGCGAGGCGTCATTATAGCGGCAGTGCTTCGCAACAACTGCCACCACCGCGACCATTACAGCCGCTCCTGCTGTTACCGCAGCAGCAGCTACCGTCACCATCGTCGTGATGTTTCTATTGCTGTAGCTGATGCCGATTGAGGTCGTTGATCTCGCCGCAGCAGCGCAAGCAGCAGATCGCCAATTGCTGCCGTCCGCTGTAACTGACTATTTCTGCTCGGGCCATGCGTCCCTCCTCAGTTGCTTATTGCTGCTACCGCCGCAACTGGCAGTTCTGCTCCTCGGCTACTTTGTGCTGGTTGTTAACTACTGCCGCCGCCCTTCTTTGCGTCTGTACTATGCTATGTTGTAATAAGGATCGCGCGCGGAAACGGTACTGCAGCAACATCAGCCGCTGACGGACGGATAGACGCGCGGGCCACCGCTGTTTTGCCGCTTTCTCTGGTTCCCTTCAGACGTGTTTTCACGCGATGAAAGATCGCGAGGATGGCGTCGGCTACGACAACAATTCTGCGGCCTTTTAAACGGTGCAGCACAGACTGGGTACACAGGATGCTCAGGCTATCTCAGTTGTTGGTCCTGTTATCGTTAGGGCTCTTGATCAGCTGTTCGACTTCAAGTGAGTCGACTGAAAAGATCGTGAAGCTACTTCTCCGACTACGACAACAACGTCGTAGACTTTGACGCGCACTACCCGTGAATACACCTATCTGATTAGTAGCCAGGATTACGTTCGCAGAGAAAAAAAACCTATTGGAAAAGTTGTAGCTTGCATGTAGTCGCTAAAAATATATTACAAAATCAAAAACGTTGAAAGGGCAGGTTGCTATCACCCTCTAGGCTCACTTGAATTTAGGGACCTTCTTGAGGTTGACGTTTGCTGACTTCTTGCCGATTAAATCATTAGCACGTGAAGCCCATAGTTAATATAGGTAAAATAGTATGAATCGTATTTGACGCGTATTAGACGTCCTTCAGTAAATAAACCAACTCGTACCCTGTCACCCAGCACCACTAACTTCGTGTCAATGACGCCGACATAAACATAAACACTTTTGTTTCAATACCAGTTAAAAAGAATGCCGGTTTCCCAAGCATTGTTGGGGGATATACTTTTTTTTCGATATCTTAACCTAATTTCGCTCTACCTATATTTGCCTAGCTATTGATTTATCTGCAATGCTATTAGCACTATGTAATAACTACAACTAAGCCCTATGATAAGATAACGGCTGCGAATGGCGAGTGCGCTCTAACGGAGCAAGAGGTGGAGACTATTTGCAAGAGGGTACAAGAAGTTCATTAATTTTAAATTTATGTCATATCATAAGGCTCACATTATCTATCCCTTGCCTTTTGCAGTCCGAGAAGTCACTGTCGACACTACGATCAAGTACAGCAACATTCAGTGGTTCTGAATAGCATGTAACGGAAAATGTAGGATCCAATCTGCGGGGGGAGCATCGTAGCGTCCAGGATGGTAGTTATGTTAAGGAGAACCTTTCTCATGCACTCCAGGACCTACTCGATTACATTTACCAATCCGTCAGGCCCGTTATGACACGATCAGTTATAGCCGAAGAGTATAGAAACGAGTCAGCTATTGAAAAGATCTACTCTGACTGGTGATTTGAGAACAGAACGGGGGTGCGCGACACGTAATGCCAGGAGAACGAAAATTCCAATCATATCTCTTACCATTGGTTTATGGAAATCAGTTATGGGTTTGTCAAGAAATTGGCTCAAGTAGAATCCAGCCTAAAATTAGTCGTCGTTCATAGAGACCGTGGAACTCTTTTAGGCTAGTTCCCAAAATATGCAATGCATTGCGGCATTTATGTGTGCAACTAAAAAGTCTTTATCACTGTTTGTTCGCGGCAGTTGGCGCAGATCGATCTGAGGGCTTCGACTGGTAAAAAGCAGCTCACAATTTTCATACAGGCCCTGGCAAGCACGCGTCGTTCAAGCGTCGTATTTTCAATTTGGTTTCTCAGTACCGAATCGTCACGAATTGACGTCGTATCATTGTGATCTTCTGATTCGTTTTATTGCCATTGCGACAACAATTATTAGCCATGCGAAGTGTGATGAACAGATTATCAGAGCTGAAATCCGAAGTCTCGTATTTACTACCTTTATCGAACTTTGTTTCTATAAGGATTAGAGCTTTGTTTTAATTAAGAACACTAAAAAAATTTACTGCTAGTTAAATGCGAGATGTATGTATATATGTAAGGGTATGATATATAAATTGGGCTTGAATGGCAACAAACAGGCCAACCATTCTAGGTCTGGAATTCGATAGCTTAGGACTAAACGTGTTGTTGTTTTTTTTATTTGCTCAAACACCAATTTTTGTTCCTTGGGGGTACTCTTGAGGTGTGGAGTAAGTCACTAATATATATATATATATATATATATTAGATGTTTACGGGACCACACTGGCGGGAATGATGGCAAGTTGACGAATACGTAACTCTTGACTGATTGTTTGAGGTAGTAACTACGCTAGTATCGGCATGTTACCTCGTTACCTACATTTCGATTATTCAAATCGTCGTTATACATAATTATGGTTGTACATTGTGTTTGGCGATCATCAGAAACGGCTGTAGCGTCGACCCTTTAATACGTCGTAAACGTGGTTTCACGTCGAGTTGTAGATATACAAATAATAGACGAAAACAAAAAAAAAAACTTGCTATCGATACTTACCAGAACGGATACTACGACCGCCATTGATTTCAAGTGAAGAAGTTCCAAAGTATGGATTGCTTGTTAGAAATGAATAAAATTGAGCATGACCGGTTATAAAGTCGTGCTTGAAGCTAATCAGGATCAAATTCTGGACCTAATTACGATTGGGCTTAGTTTTACTTTATGCAAAGTAATCAGCCCTTTCCGGCATAATCTTTTGCCTTAAGACTCGACTTCATTCATACCAGTCTGCTATGCTTCAGCTGGTTAGCCATTCTGAAAAGCTTTCAGCATAAGTCGTCCTTTTCTGCATTTGCCTGCAATTCTATAAACTTCTTTCCGGCAACTTGTTGAAACAGTAGTTGGCGTTTTAATCTGCAAAATACGTGTTTGTAAATGTGACGCCTTTGGAAGCGGAAAACCATCGTTCTGGGCTATGTCTCGTGGATATGCTCAATCGTCAATAAACTCGACCAGAATTTGTAAATTATTCCGTGGCGACTATTGAGGTTCTTTGGGGGCAAATGGGCGGAATACCCACCGCGTCGTTAGTTGTTTCATGCCGAAACCCTCTATCAATTGTCGGAATCACAGCCACTGTCAAGCCTAACCTTAGTTCGACTGTTGTCGAATAATCGATAATGGCTGCAGCATTTGACCCTACCATACCATACGTTAACCAAATTCTATGGTTTTATGGAAATTTTATGGTAGCAATGATTTGTAAAGCGTACTGCTTGTAAAACGTAGAAGTTTAAACTATATGACTGAACTTTTTCTAGACAGAAACGTCTGTTAAATAACAATAGTAGCCGAACGCTCAGAATGGCAAAAATGTTTACGGGTATTGTTAATACGTGCGTATATTTATATCATCCGAATACTTTTGCCGTCTTCATGTTCAGACTTTTTGGATTTATTTGATCAATGAATCCTTATTGCTGCTGATAGGCTATTAAACAATATTTAAGTTTATTTGGAAAACAACCATGCTGGTTCGGACATCTTTAAAGCACTAATGAGGAAGCATGATAATTAGCAGGAGTAGCTAGCTACGTCATGGCCGAGACTATGGGGCTGAATGGTTTAGAGTAATGTCAATGTATGTAATGTAGGCTGGCGGGCATCATATAAAGTTAACTCGAGTTTATACAGAACAGCCTTGAACTATCGTAAAATTCTACACTTTTCTGATAATTTAATAGTTGCTCTAGATATCTCTTTTTATAAAGATCTCTTTTTTATTCGAAAACTCTATTGTATAGAAAATACTAAACGTGGCCTTTTTACTACAGAAGGACAAATCTAGCAGTTTCGTGAGGTCTTATTTTCT